CTAGAATCTGCCAGGATTAACCTTCCTGGTATGCGGAGCGCTGCTCTTGAAGTACCCAGAGATCCTGAAATCTTTAATATCGAATCAGTGATGTTGATAAGAGCCTTGAACATCAAATCCTAAGCCCCCCAAACCTCTGACTCTAACCACTAAGCCAGAAACCTTGAATCCTGGATCCTCAATCCGCGTACAAACCGTCCTGGTCTTCCTTAGGTGGGACTTGTGGGGGTTTAGTGCTCCTTATTACAAACACATGGTATGCATAGACCGAGATGCTGTTCTGATTATGACGGTCCCTACATGGCCCTGTAATGGTACCTGATCAGATGATGGGGGTTCGTAGAACCTACTTCTACCCCACCAGCATAGTCCCATCAACCTTTCAAGTGCTCTCGAACGAGATATTTAACGGCCCAAGCTAACTCCTCAGCCTCATCCTCGCCCTCGCCGAGTAGCGGGGCAGGGGCTGAGCCGCTGGAATCGTTTATTGCTTTGAGGTGTAGAACACGGGGCTATGTGTTCGGATCTTTTTCGAGATTCGTCTCCTAAACAGTGTTGAAGCTCGAGGCCATGCATATGCAGCATGTCACTGCAAGATCTGGTCTCTGTCAGGGTTATATATGTAGAGTTTAGAGTGAGGGTTCAGGGGTTGAGGGTTTAGGCGTTGAATGTAACCAGGTGCTACGACTCCTTGTTCAGCGGCTGGAATGGTGTGGTGGTGTGCTTCCGATCTCTGCCGAGGCCTTCTCTCCCAAGCGGAGTCTTCTGCCGTGGTTTTGTGTACCGTAACCGTTTTGCTGCCATGCTTCTCCCTCCTGTGGTTCGGGCGCAAACCCTAAACCCCAACGCCTTAAACCGTAGATTGCCTATATCCTGAACACCTGAAAGCCCTAAACCCCCGAACCCCCAATACTCCGTAACCCATAGTGAATTAAAGCCACAAGCCCGCAATCCCGAAATGCTTGAACCCCTAAACCCCATGCCGCTTAACTAAGAAGATGGCACAGTAGGTCTATTTCAACAGAACCCAGCGAACTCGAGCTCTTTCATCAGTTGTAGCTAGTCTTTCTAAGGAACAGAATGAAGCAACGCCTGAAGCCCTGGATATGTTGCAAAGATATCCTGAATCTAGTGTGTTCCCCTTTGTGACAGCATCCTTACTTATCACTGCCTTGAGACCAGAGCACTTTCCGTGAAGCTGGAAATTCAGACACTCCAGCATCGCTTAATTTGAGGGTGCTTTGTTGAGGTTCTCCACGATGATTCCATCGATCAAAAACGTACCCTGAAGGCCCGTGGCGGTCCGTGTACCTACATAGTATGTACTTGCTGATGCCATCTTGGGCCTGTGTGTTTTTATTATACCACGCCTTACTGCGCATATACATGCACCCTTACAGATGGTCCTGCGCCAGAAAATCCCCCGGAGGGTGGAGCATCGGCGAACGTGTTGTTTTACAGAGGTCCTCTTCTCTGCTCCGCGGGTGTCGACCCCCTTGTTTTGCCTGAGAAACCTTCAACTCTAAGTTCATTCCTGCTACCAATCTTAAGCTGTTGATTGTGGTGTTTATAGCTCCGCGCCCTAAACCCTAAGCTTCCCTAAACCCTGAGTCAAAAAGGCCCTCAACAAAAACCTAAGCCCTAAACTCTAATCCATCAGTCGTGCAAGGAGCACCCGAGGCACCACCGAAAAAGCCAGACCCGGAGCCGAACGGAAACCTCAGCCCCAAGAGCAAAGAACCCTGCCAAAGCAACTTCAAACCCCAAGAGCACCCAAGGAGTGCCCGAAACCGAACGGAGCAACAAGCCAAACAACCAACCACGGAAGCCCAGCTCACTTGGGGCGGACGGACGAAGCCTTGCTTGCTGGTAACGAATGCCACGAAAGTAAACGGCGTGCTACGAGGCACTCCCATCAGAAAGCAATAACGACCCGTGCGCATCTACATGGCCTCACCCGACTCAAAGTGTCACGTTTTCAGACTGCCCTGTTTACATGCGAAGGCGCATGAGACGACGCCACACGCACTAGGGCTTAGGGTTTAAGGTTTGCGGGCTGGGGCTTGGGATTTGGGTCTAGGTACTCAGGGTTCCGGGCAGTGGGCAGCGTGCTAGCTACATGATGACCTCGATCCCCGAGATGTGTACCTGGAGACTCAGGGAGTGCAAGTTTAAATGTTGGCTATTAGAAGGTTTCTGCAGGCAAGCCGTGCAAGCGGGGGGCGACGCAATTTGAAGCATACATGTTCCCAAAGGGTCCAAAGTACCGATATAGCAGAATGTAGGGTTTCTATATTAGGAATTACTATTATGATTTGGGGAGGTATTCCCCATAACAGTACATAGGACCCTTTGGGGTTCCATTGCAGCGAAGCAGGCGATGGAGGATCAAAGCCTTAGTTTCAGCCTTGGGTTTTTAGGCGTGGGGGATTGCGGTTCCAGGATGCGCGAGGTAGGATCCAGGGAACTAGAAAAAGGGCTGTTTGGAATATGATGGTTCCCCTGTTGTGGGAGGCTTGACTTCCTTTTGCTTCCGCATCTGGAGTAACCTTTAGGAGTCTTGTTGCAAGGGAGCCCAAGTTTGAACAAGGGCCGGTAGGTGTTTGAGTTTTGGGGTTTAGGGTCAATTTAAGGGAGTACCTGAGCCGCCCTTATGACGAAGTGCGATCTTCTGCGCAAGATGCTGCGCGGCAAACCAAACGAGGATGAGGGCCCGGCAACCGTGGTTAAGTCCCTAGAATGTGCTTTCTGCTCTGTTTTTCTGGGTTGAGTGTGGCATTGAAGTAAGGCTTTGTAGTCGTCAGCGACGAGAGGATTTCCTCTTTCACACCATCGATCGGAGGATTTCTTCTATCGTTGTTTCCGTCGAGTGGTGTCAGACTGCTTTAACAGCGTCTGCCAACAGTGGCCGTAAGCCCCAACCCGTACACCCGCAAACGCAGCACTTTAAACCTTAAACTTTTGGTTGCGCGGGCCAATCTGCCCGACCAAATGTGTGCTGCAAGCACGTCTGAGCCAAGACATGAAGTTAGTAGGCCCAAAACCCCCGTCTCTAATAAAAAAGGCCACTGTTTTGCCTTGAGTGTCCACGCGCGCTACTGATAGTCACACAGTGCCGAGCAGATTAATCTGCATTCGTACTTTCCTCAACCCAAGTACCTAATCATTGGATCCTCTGGACCCTTGGGGTTACGGCCGGGCGACTCAGACAACACCGATAAGAAAGTTCCGTGGCGACCACTGTTTGAAGCAAGCGGTGCTCTGGCAAATGAGCTTCTCAGGGTTCAGAGTTTATAACTTACCTATAGTCTCCATTGTAGTTCTCCTTTTTTTGGTTATCCAGGTTTTTGGTTGGCATCCTATAAAAGAGATTTTGGATAACCAGAAAAAGGAACTACAATGGAGACTATAGGTAGGGTCATACGGCTCACATTTGTTTTGGTTTTTGGTTGTCTTCGGGGTCTGATGGATTCTTATGGGCTGTACGGGTGTTTACAGGTCTTACTGTCTGGGGTGTTACCTATCCGCAACAATCTGTATAGTACGTTATGTAAAGGTTGTATTACTCATCAGTAGAAATACTCTGCCGTTTTGCAGGGTCTCAGATTACAGGCATCGGGAAATCGGGTGTGGGGAGTTGGGCCTCTCCTCCGGAGCCCTACTACTTTTTCAAGGGTTTTGGGATTAGGATTTAGGGTTTAGGGCTGTAGAACTCATGCATATGTGGAGACTTTTGGGTTTGCGGGTTTGCCTCACCAACACTACAGGAGACATCGCTCTTGACCCTTTAGGGTTTAGGGTTTAGGGTTTAAGCCATATCCTCTGCGTTGTGTGAAGCCATACACTCCGCCACCATTGAGGCTTAACGCCCCAGCACTGAAACCTAAGAGCTCTTAAGCAGTCAAGACATAAACAGCCGAAGCGCCAAGACCCGTTGAGCCTGAAAGCCTTAAAGCCCCGAAGGTCGTCAGGCTGCCACATATACAGCCCCATGCCCGAACATCAGCACACAAAAGCAAGCAATAAGATGCCATTCAACGCAGGTCTTAACTTGGATCGAGCTTCTATTTCGGGTTTTGGGTGTAGGACGCCCGCGACATGAAGCCCCTTAGTGACAGGAGTTGTTTGCAATCTTGCTTTTGCAACAGAGGATCCTTGAAGAGTCCTTACTTTCGGGCCTCCGAGTGGGCTACTGTAGTGATGGTTCAGCCCAGCGGTCGTTGGGTTTATAGTGAACTCCAGAAAGTTGGAATATGGTTTCATGGTAGGATACCCTATAATTTACCATAGAAGGGTTAGGATAATCATATTCCAACTTTCTGGCCTCTACCTTACGGTTTGGGGTTGAGGGTCGAGAGTAGAGTCTTGTTATGTGCAGCAGTCCCCCGCATGAAGACAAGCGTGGTTTCGCACTTTAGAGTGGGCCAGACTGAAGCGTCGGGTTCTAGTCTGGTATCTTTTACATTTTTGGAGCTGTGGTAGATCCCTCAAAAGAATCATGTTCAAACCTTGTAAAATCTAAACCCTAAACCCGAACCCAAGCCCCAATCAGTTGAGAGCCCTAGACAGACCCTAGACGAGAGATTCGAGTCTCTAGGTCGGGAGAACATGGGTCCCTAAACCTTCCGTCCCCAACAGGCTGAATACGGTTGATGATATAAATCCTGCATGACCCATAGTAAGGAATATACCACAATTCCCATCGGTTAGAGCCCTTAAGGTAATGAAGGATTTCTATCATCAACCGTATGAAAAGGGTTTTTTGTAAGAAGGGTTCTGTGTAAGGGGTTTTGTAAGGTCTTGCAGGGCTTGTGAGGGTTTTCATGTGGCTTGGTGCTTTTCAATCGGGTTGAGAGTTATTGGTTCAGGGTGTACAGCGGCTTGAACAAGGGTTAGTAATTAGTCGATTTTTCAGAGATGCCTTATACCCCATAGTAGAGGTTGCGTCAAACCTCAGTCGATTCAAAGTGCACTGCATTAGGCCCGAAACCACTTTGCAGGATATCTCGCGCAATGCCCTGGAGAAAGCAGAGGACAACAGTGTTTTTCTCACAGTTGTTGGGTTTTTCGGTGCTCGAGGGCCAGAAAGTCCAAACGCTTAATGTATTGAATGCCCTTGTGTTTAAGAGCCTTCATATTCCGATCCGGGGGCAACCCTTCACTGGACTGGCAGCCGCAATTCTAGACCCTACCTGTAGCCTGAAAAACTTCTCGATGTACGGGAATCTCTGAGCAAATCAAAAGAAGGAACGGCGAGAGGTAGTGAGGATCCCTGATTTGGAAAGCCCAGGGATGTTTTCAGGCAGTTTTAGGTCTTCTGGTTTTGGCTTTACTTGGAGTGCTGTGCTTTGCCACGTTTTGTGGAATTTACGGGCATCCTGCTTTGTTGTTGCTGATGGTTGATAGTCTGGTCGTTCGAGCCGAATGGACAATGCCGGGTTCAGTGAATGAGAATCTAGGTAGAATCTAGGTTATAGGCCATTGGGATAGGTTTTATTTTCTCGTATTGGGCTCAACTTAAGGATCTTATTGTCGAAGGTTTCCACATGCGTTAAAGGGACAGCCTCGGAATCGAAGGAGAGTCTAGGAGTTAAGCCGGAAGCCGTTAACTACGGAAATCTGCGGAAGATGCAAAGGGCCCAACTCAAATTTCACTATCTAGTTTGAGGTGTGTTGCTCGGTTGTGGGCTCTTGAAATCTTCCGACTGCCTAAGTTTCGATTTCCAACGGTTCGAATGCATGTTGCATTTGCGGTCAGGTCGGAAGTGAAGCGGTTTATGTTTTAGGATCTGGATCTGTTTCGCCTCAGGGCCTAAGCAACAAATACGCACATACCTCTTAAAAACCCTATTACGATCCTAAACTCAGCTTGTTTGTTTTGGACTATGCTTCGCCATAAAGCCGTGAAGAGAGCCCTGTATATAAGACCCTTATAGAATACCGTGAAGTTGGACTCTGGGTTGTGGGGGGGGGGGGGTTGTTGAAGGGACCCAGTCTGCAGGAAGTGGCCTCCGCCATTGTCGGTGAGGCAAGGAAGACGTGAATTTCAGCAAGCAATCCGAAATCCTAATGTGGGAATACCGGCAAGAAGAAGCCATACTTGTCAAATGCCCTTATCTCCACTCTAAGGCTTTTCTCATCTGCCATGATGTAGGGTTTGGTGCCTAGTTATATGGGTGGTTGTCAAAATTAGGGTCCCTGTTTGGGTACCATAATTATTCGGTGCCGTACATTATATTAAGGAACCCAAAAGGGACCCTAATATTGACAATCACCCATATAGTTTCGGGTCTTTCGGAGAAAGTTTCAGCAGCTGCGGAGTAGGGAGATGCATTCGCCGCTCCAGCAGTCTCATTGTCGGCAGGTTTAGGGTTTAGAGTTTAGGGTTTTTAGGGTTGCAGGCTAGAGATGACATTCATTCTACTTACACAGGGATCCTGTGAGGCATTGAGAGTTTGCGCCTTCGAGCTTCGGGGTAAGGTGGTCATGGTTTGCGGTGTGACGGCCTTCAAAATCACCTCAGATGTACCAACTTGAACTTAGTAAACCCTAAACCCTAACCAGGCCCTAACACCCTAAACCCTAAGCCCCAAGCTGCCCGTCTTCACCCCCAAACCATGACAGCTACGCCAAAACGCGGCAGAGACAACTTCAAGGCTAGACTTGCCGCCAAAACCCTACACTGTAATCCTTCAGCCTATAGGCTAAAGGATTGAAGTATAGGGTTTGGGGGTTGAGGGATATATACACCCCAGGCCCTATACCTATATTTGGGTGATTGTCAGAACTACGGTCCCTTGTTGTCTTATATTAAGCACCCAAAAAAGGACCCTAATTTTGACAACCACCCATTTCGAGGCTCAAACACCCAAAGCTCCGCAAAGCCGTTTTGAAGCCGCAGGTTCTGGGGAACGCCTGGAGAACGCTCCTAGAGTTCCTGATGATGGCCTGCAGCTTCAGGGCTCTTTTTAGGGCTTAGGGTTTTATGATTTAGAGTTTAGGGTTTTAGGATTTCGGGTTTAGGGTTTTAGGATTTAGAGTTTAGGGTTTTAGGATTTGGGGTTTAGGGTTTTAGGATTTAGGGTAAAGGGCCCTTTCAGGAGTGTTTACGGTGTTTGGGGGCTTGGTTTTCCGGGTTTGGGTCGTAACGTAGGGTGGAGGGTGATGGAAAAACTCTTCGGGTGTTACTTGAGGTTTGAGCCTTTAGGCAGCGGTTAGGGACGTTTTAGTGCTGCTGAGTTGGGGTCAGGTTGAGGCCGAGGGGATCAAAGCTCAGCGGTTAAGGGTTAAAGGTAGGAAGTTGAGAGTTTGGGGGTTTCCGAAAAATAGGGGGCCCTACTATAGAACCCTAAATAGTAGGATCCAGCTTATTATAAGGACCCCAAAATAAGGTACCCCTACTTTCGGAAACCCCCGTTTAGGGTCTAGGGCAAGTTTAGCGACCCAACAGCCGCCACAGGCCTTCGACCACACCCCAAGCTGTTTTCACTCCAGCCACTCCTATCCGGCAACACGCCAACTACAATCCAGCCACACACCCTCAGCCACACGCCATACCCAACTACAATCCAACCACACACCTTTTAGCCACGCCTATTCTGCCACTCACGCTCCTGCTGCACATCCTCCAGCGTGGACTTTCACCTAGACAGGTGTTCTAAACCGGGTGTCGGGTGGCTGGCTGTTTGCGCCATGGCCTAGCCACGAACTCCGACACTGGCTGGTGGCTGGCGGTTCGTGACAAAAATCAGAGGCTTGCTGGTGACTTGCGGCGGTGGTTCATGGCTGGTGGCTTGGCTGGTGTCCGGTGGCTGGCTACGGCTAGTTTCATCTTCTCAGCCAGTGTTGTCACTTGGTTCGTTTGTTGGCTCTTCTCGTCCTTCATAAACAATAAGTTTGTTGGCGCTTCTCGTCCTTCATAAACATACATAACGTTCGATGGCACTCTTGCAAGGCTTCGGGGTGAGGAGCTTGAGGCTTGTTGGCTCTGTAAGGGTTACCTCAGCCGCCAAAAAACTTCCTATCGAAATCATAGCAACTAACTGACAAAACCCTAAACCCTAAATCCTAAACCCTAAACCCTAAACCGTGGTTGAGGGTTCAGGCTCCAGGATGCAAGAGCCCCAGAGCCCGAGACTCCCTACCTTCGATGCCGGCTTCGCCTGCAGACAGACTGCCTTTCAGTTTGAGTTTGGGCCTGTGACCGTTCAGGGCCCGGTTTTTGCCATGTTTTCGGAGCCTTGGTCGTAGAAGCAGAAGCTAACTACGGCTTGTCGCCGGCAGTTGTGGCAGAAGGCTGGGTGGTGGGGCGGGGGGAAGCAAGCTGCATGAGGTGACGAGTAGCGTCAGTATCAGAAGCAGCTGCGCCAACAACAGCTGTCATCTAGGGGCCTGTAAATAGTTACCTATACTAGTTTGGGGTTCTTTATTCTACTGGGCTGTGCTTTCGGAGTGTTTTTAATTTCTGTGGTTTTGCTGGGTCTTGGTATACAACGATTGATTGTATGGTTTGTAGTGTCAAACAACCATAAGTTTGTAGTGTCAAACAACCATAAGCCACGTTAGATCAAGCTGCCACTCGAAACGAATTGTCAGTGGTAATTTACCACTGACAATTCGCTTCGAGTGTCAGCAAGCTTCTCATGTGAACATCGCCCTCACCGTGGATCACCTCGAGTGTCAGCGTGGAGCCCTAGAGTGCAGAGTCATGCTGGGGTTTGCGGCAAGACCCATTCGCCGCTGCGGCAAGACCCATTCGCCGCTAGCAGGGTCAGGGTCTGAGGGTAGCATCTAAGAGAGAGTCATGCGGCATGGACCATTCGCCGCCGAGAGCTAGGATGAGAGTCATGTTCTTATCGTCTGCTAGAGTCAGATGCCATAGGTAGGTCGGCAGAGTGTCATAGCAGTGACTTGCAAGAGCAGTTTGTCAGTGTCAGGTACCACATTGCATCACCGAGGCCAGACCTTCCAGTGTCAAGCGATGGCAGGACACTGAGCGATTGCAGTCAGGGTCATCGCCTGAGAGCGCAGATGCATCCGGAGTGCAGTGTCATTTTGTGCGGCATGACCCATTCGCCGCTAGCAGTGTCAGGGTTTGAGTGTAGCATCTAATCTAAGAAAGAGTCATGCGGCATGGACCATTCGCCGCCGAGAGCTAGGATGAGAGTCATGTTGTTCAATGATTATTTTCGTCGTCGTCTATTTTAATCATTAAATGACATATTTAGTTTAATATTTAAATTTAATTATAATAAATAAATATTATTCAATAAATGATGCCATAGGTAGGTCGGCAGAGTGTCATAGCAGTGACTTGCAAGAGCAGTTTTTGTCAGTGTCACATATAACAATAATAATTTCAATTTAATATAATAATTAAACACATTGCATCACCGAGGCCCGACCTTCCAGTGTCAAGCGATGGCAGGACACTGGGCGATAGCAGTCGGGGTCATCGCTTCAGAGTGCAGTGTCATTTTGTTGCGGCATGACCCATTCGCCACTAGCAGTGTCAGGGTTTGAGTGTAGCATCTAAGAGAGAGTCATGCGGCATGGACCATTCGCCGCCGAGAGCTAGGATGAGAGTCATGTTCAATCATCATCTAAGCTGCTAGAGTCACATGCCAAGAGTGTCACAGCAGTGACTTGCAAGAGCAGTTTGTGAGTGTCACATGCATCACATTGCATCACTGAGGCCAGACATTCCAGTGTCAAGCGATGGCAGGACACCGAGCGATTGCAGTCAGGGTCAGCGCCTGAGAGCACAGAGGCATCCAGGGTGTAGTGTCATGTTGTTGCGGCATGACCCATTCGCCGCTAGCAGTGTCATGGTCTGAGGGTAGCATCTAAAAGAGTCATGCGGCATGGACCATTCGCCGCCGAGAGCTAGGATGAGAGTCATGTTCTTATCATCTATCTGCTAGAGTCAGATGCCATAGGTAGGTCGGCAGAGTGTCATGGCAGTGACTTGCAAGAGCAGTTTTTGTCAGTGTCACATAATATATCACATTGCATCACCGAGGCCCGACCTTCCAGTGTCAAGCGATGGCAGGACATTGGGCGATTGCAGTCAGGGTCATCGCTTCAGAGTGTAGTGTCATTTGGTTGCGGCATGACCCATTCGCCGCTAGCAGTGTCAGGGTTTGAGTGTAGCATCTAAGAGAGAGTCATGCGGCATGGACCATTCGCTGCCGAGAGCTAGGATGAGAGTCATATTGTTCAATTATCGTCTATTAATCTGCTAGAGTCACGTGCCATAGGTAGGCCGGCAGAGTGTCATAGCAGTGACTTGCAAGAGCAGTTTTGTGAGTGTCACATGTATCACATTGCATCACTGAGGCCAGACCTTCCAGTGTCAAGCGATGGCAGGACACCGAGCGATTGCAGTCAGGGTCAGCGCCTGAGAGCACAGAGGCATCCAGGGTGTAGTGTCATGTTGTTGCGGCATGACCGAATTCGCCGCTAGCAGTGTCATGGTTTGAGGGCAAAATCTAAGAGAGTCATGCGGCATGGACCATTCGCCGCCGAGAGCTAGGATGAGAGTCATGTTCTTATCGTCTATTATTATCTGCTAGAGTCAGATGCCATAGGTAGGTCGGCTGAGTGTCATAGCACTGACTTGCAAGAGTTGTATTATCAGTGTCACATGTATCACATTGCATCACCGAGGCCCGACCTTCCAGTGTCAAGCGATGGCAGGGCACTGGGCGATTGCAGTCAGGGTCATCATCGCTTCAGAGTGCAGTGTCATTTTGTTGCGGCATGACCCATTCGCCGCTAGCAGTGTCAGGGTTTGAGTGTAGCATCTAAGAGAGAGTCATGCGGCATGGACCATTCGCTGCCGAGAGCTAGGATGAGAGTCATATTGTTCAATTAAATTATCGTCTATTAATCTGCTAGAGTCACATGCCATAGGTAGGCCGGCAGAGTGTCATAGCAGTGCCTTGCAAGAGCAGTTTTGTGAGTGTCACATGTATCACATTGCATCACTGAGGCCAGACCTTCCAGTGTCAAGCGATGGCAGGACAC